AGAGGTCTTGTAATTTCTGCTTTTACTCTCTTGTGGCTCTAAGACCACCATTTAAAGCCATGAAAGCTAGTTTCCTTGAAGATGAAAGACCTGAGAGAGAGCCTAGATGACAGCCAGCATCAATCATCAGACATATGAGTGACATCATCTTGGACTATCAAGCTCATGTCAAGCCAACACAAGGCTACAGCCACAGCTATAATTCTGGGTGAGTTCAGCAGAACTACCCCGCTGAGCCCAGAGCAAGTTGCTGACACACAAACTGATGAACTAATAAAATAATGCTCGTTTTTAGCTACTACATATTGGGGTGGTTTGTTATGTATAATAGCTAAGTGGGACAGTCATCCATAGTTTATAAAGAATTCCAGGGATAAGAGCAAATAACATGGTTGGAATATGGGCAGGCAAGTCACAAAACAAGAAAGACAATGCTTGTTGACCTGAATCAGAGCTGGGAGTCCTGCTGAGGAACTGGAAAAGGAACTTGGGCTCCACAATCCACCTGCCTGCGTCTGAATCCTGGCCCTGCTCACCACAGCGGCGTGGCCTTGGGCAAGTTACACAAATCTCTCTAGGCCTCAATTTCCTCATCTATGAAAAGGCTATAGAAAAACTGTCAATCCTACAGAACCATTGCAAGGAAACTTACTTGTATTAAGTACAAATAAATGTTCCTTTTGCTTCTACTGCTATAAATAGCTCAGGTGACCTCTTGCATCAGAAGCAGTGAGTATAGGGGCGCCTGGGTGCCTCAGTGGGTTAAAGCCTCTGCCTTTGGCTCGGGCCCTGATCCCAGGGAAGCAGGGAGCCTGCTTCTCCCCCTCTCTCTGCCTGCTTCTCTGCCTGCTTGTGATCTCTGTCAAATAAATAAAATCTTAAAAAAAAAAGCAGTGAGAAGCTAAGCTGTTTTATTGAAGGCAAGTAGAGGGATAAAGGAAGAAAGTTCTTAAAGATGGTAGTTAGGAGACAGAGAACAAAGATATTTAGTTACATTTCAGAGCTCGGTTTGCCATAATGGTATTATAAAAATATCAATTTTGTGGTTTATAATACTTGCTTCTATCTCACTGTCTTAATAAATGCTAGCTTTATTATTTAAAATTGGTAGAAATTCATGGTTTTCTTTTTTTTTTAAGATTTTATTTATTTATTTGACAGACAGAGATCACAAGTAGGCAGAGAGGCAGGCAGAGAGAGAGAGAGAGAGAGAGAGAGAGGAGGAAGCAGGCTCCCTGCTGAGCAGAGAGCCCGATGCGCGGCTAGATCCTAGGACCCTGGGATCATGACCTGAGCTGAAGGCAGAGGCTTAACTCACTGAGCCACCCAGGCGCCCCTAGAAATTCATGGTTTTAAATCTGACTGAGATTAGTAGAGAGGCGGCCATCTGAATTTCAAGTAAAAGAGGTATAATAATAATTATTATTGCTGTGGATTCTATATTTTAGAATGCTCTATCTTCCAGACTGCTTTCATTATATGTAATTATTTTATTACTATTATCAATTAAAGACATGAAAGAACTAATCTGAGTTTCTGATTAACATGAGACACTCATTTCAATGAGGAGATAAGATTTTATTCAAAAGTGAAAAAAGTTAAAGTTTTTTGTGCATTTTTATGCAGCTGTTGCAGACAACTGGACAATTTCTTGTAAGATATTTTAAAATACTGAAAGCAGTACGCAGACTGACATTGTTTTCATGAGCCACATTATTGCATGCTCAAAGCATTTTACTGCCACCTCCTAACAGCGTACCTACAGTATGGGGATAGTCACAGAGCTAAAAAAAAATGTATCCTCTAGTATGTTGAAACTACCCCCCAAATTGTGTTAGATCATGTTTATATATATATGTGTGTGTATGTATATATAACGTTATCGATGTATGTGTATATATATAAATATGTATATTCCTATTTAACACAATAAGACTGTCAAGATGTGTTTGAAAATTTAAATTGTTGAAAGGCTTTCTCTGTCTTACAGCCAGCATGAAGACTTTGCTAAGAACTTGGAATACAAATACCTTCAAAGATTTTTCACTATAAAGTAACAAAAACAAATTAAGCAGTTTCTAGCTGTGCACCCTTGGACAAGTTACCTAACATCAATGTTTTCATTTGAATCTGGGATAGCGATAGTGCCTGATTCACAAGACTTTTGTTGATATACATAAAGTGTTAAGAACAGTGCCTGACACATAAAAGACACTTGAGAAATCTTAGCTATTATTGTTGTTATTCTTACTACTATTTTATTGGGTGTCCTTGATATGTCCAAACCACCAGATCTTAAATAAGAGAGTATCTCTTTTTTAAAAGATCCCAAATACCCTACTGTTGGGTAAATAAACCAACCATTGTGCATTTCTAACTGCAACCTTGTATTTTAGAATATTTTAAGCGGTAATAACAAAAAAATAAGGTAGTATAAGGATTGGTTAACTTTCAGGTTACGAAGAATGAGTTTAGCAACTTAAAATATCACAGAGCCAAAATAAAATAAAATTAAAATTAAATAAAATATCCCAGAGCCAACAAACTCAAATGGAACTTAAGATGGGTTAGAAATGCCCAATAAGGGGAGCCTGGGTGGCTCAGTGGGTTAAGCCTCTGCCTTCGGCTCAGGTCATGATCCCAGGGTCCTGGAATCGAGCCCCACGTTGGGCTCTCTGCTCGGCGGCGAGCCTGCTTCCTCCTCTCTCCCTGCCTGTCTCTCTGCCCACTTGTGATCTCTGTCTGTCAAATAAATAAATAAAATCTTAAAAAAAATGCCCAATAAACAGAAAGAATATAGTGTCCCCAGTTTTGTTTTTAAGTGCACCTGCTAGTAGTGAATTCCATTTCCGGGGCTGAAAACAACATACTAATAAATGTCTTTTGCAGACCTTCTCACTTGGTGGAACATACTCTCTTTCTCCATTTGAATCGTAATATCTTTGGAGAGCCAAAGAAATAACTTTAGTTAGGAAGAATATAAAACTTTTATAATAACAAATTACAAAAGAGAATAAAGTTATGAACCAAACTGTTAAACTCATCATTCTGCCTGGATCAGTGCATAGAGTAGACCAAATAACCAAACAGTATTACAAGATAAGCTGAAACTGGGGGATTATCAGCTCCTTGGGACCCAAGATATTCCTAGGACCATTACTCCTTCTAGATCCCCCATTTCTTTTGCCCTCTTGGGGAAGTTCTTCAGCCAAAAGCCCTTTTGAGAATTTAATCCACTTCCCCTTTGCAGTTGCCACTTCCACCAGCTGCTTCTCTCATTACCTTACTGTTCAGGCAGAAAAGGCCAACCCCAGGTTATTCTAATGATAGCAAACACCTCATAAAGAAATCTGCCAGATTTACTTTTCCATAGAACACCATTTTTACAGCTTTTCATGAGCCCATGAGGAAAGAAAGCATCATGTATAAAATATGACTTCCAGAAATCTTGAAGATATTAAGAATGAGGTCTACAGTGTTAGACTGCTAGATGTACCATAGTCTAAAGAATGGGAGTATCTTCCCTTCAGTCTCCCCAGAGGAATCCTATCAGCCTGTCATTGTACCTGTTGGCCCACGGGAATTGACATTTTCAGAAATGTCCCAAATTTAAAAGAACTGCAAGCTCTGGGGTGTATATTTTTCCACTCCTGGTTTGGCATTTGCATGCAAGGATCACCTTGCTTTAGTCTATGACACCCTGGCAGAGAGAAAACTTGGTATAATTAAGAGTTTGGAGTGTATGAATGTTGGCAAATTTCCTAATCTCTTTTGTGCCTCAGTTTTTGCATCTATAAAGGGGGCATATTAACAGTATAGAACTTCGTTAAATCAATGAAATTCTGTAAAGTGCTTAATGCAGTGGCACACAGTAAGCACTATGGAACTATTTAAGTGAATTCTCTCTCTAACAGAACTCTTCACAAAAATTACACAAAATGTAAAAAAAAAGGAATTAGTTGGGGCAATGATTGTAAAGCCCCTTGGGAACAATTAATAATACTTATCTGGACATTGCCGAGTAAAGAGTTTTAGAGAGGCTGGTTTGAGGAAGAGATTTTTAGGAGTCAGAAAATTCCCAGTGCTTCCTAGGAAAATCCTTTTTGACTTCTACCCATGCTCCAAGTTGACAGCTGCTAACACCCTTAGACTCAAGGAAAAGCGTCTTCCAAGACAGCGGCAGTAAATTCCTACCTGAGCAATCCTTCATTCGGAAGCGATAATTGACCTTGTGTCTGAAGCCCCTTATCCCCTCCCTAAAGGCGACCCCCACCTCCTCCACCGTCGCCCCTCCTTGGAGCTGAACCGATCATCAGAATCCCGTTCCTAAAGCGACCCTCAACAGGAGCAGAACGCTGGAAGGCTTTACCAGAGGTTTAAAACCCCAGGTGACCCGGCCCCAAGCACGACAGGTGGCTTGACTCCGCGCCCTCTGAAAGGCTGGGGACATACACGGGAGGCACGCGGACTGCCTGGGCGCACAGAGAGTGTCTGGCCATTCTCCTCGGGAAATTATTTCCTGATCTTTGGCGTTACTTTCCCAAAGGGCGGACTCACGGAGGTTCTTCCTCTCATACCTAGGTTGCGGATATTACCCTTAGTTAAAGTCTCTCCAACCCTGTCGTCCCCTCTCCCCCAGAGTAACATTACTCAGCCTCTAAAGGGCAACCAGAGACTGGCAGCACCCTAAGGCCAACACACACACACACTCCACACCTCCTCTGCGCATCCCAAGCCTCGCCCCCGCCCCCCCAGGTACCCGACCTGTGACAGACCTGAAGGAGAGCGTCTGCCAGACTTCGACGCAGGGTTCAGCCTCCAGGCACTTACCCCCGCTCTGCCTCTGCCTAAGACAGGTTGCCCCCGCCCGGCTGCTGCCCAAACATTTGCTCTTTGGTGAGGCGGGAGACCCGCCTCCACGCATGCAGCGGGTGCTAACTCAGCACCCAGCCACCCGGGGCCCCGCAGCCACGCGCGCCCCTCTCTGGCGGCGCACTCACCTGCAGCTGGGTCCGGCTGGCGTTGCCCGCGGCCGCGTCCGGCCCGTCGGCGGCTCCCGAACCGCGCAGCACCGTGATGTGCAGCGTGAGCAGCAGCAGCCCCAGCAGCAGCAGCAGCTCCGCCGCCAGGCGCACCATCCTCTTGAGGCGCGCGGCTTTAGGACCCGGCGCGGCGGGCGGAGGAGGCTGCGGCGGCGGCGGCGGCGGCGGCGCCGGGGGAGGAGGAGTTGGAGCCCGGGAGCCCGGCAGCGCGGCTCCCGCCTCGGCCCCTGCCGGGGCCCCGCTCCCCGGGCCCGCGGGGCTGGCGCTGGGCTCAGCGGGGCGCGCCGGGCCGGGGGAGCAGGAGCCACCGCCACCGCCACCGCCGCCGCCGCCGCCGCCGCCGCACCACGGCGGAGCCACCGCGGGGCCGGGGGCGTCCAAGCCGGCTGCGGAGCAAACCCCGGCGCTCCCCGGCGGCGGCGGCGGTGGCGGCTGGGACTGGGGGCAGCCCGGGACCCTGGCCGGGCCAGGGACCACCCTGCGGGCAGGGGGCAGCGGGGGCAGCGGGGGCGGCGGCGGGGCGGGCGCAGCCGAGCCCCCGAGCGCACATGGGCGCCCCAGATGTGGCCGCGGCGCCGCAGCTGGAGCGGGAGCGGCCGCCAGAGGAGCGCGGGGAGGAGGAGGAGGAGGAGAAGGAGGAGGAGGAGGAGAATGAGGAGGAGGGCTTCAGTGGCGGCCCGGAGTTACCTCCACGCTTGGCTCCCCCGCCCTTGCCGCCCGGAGCCACTCACCCGACGAGCCACCTCCCCTCCTCCCCGTGCTCCTTCGGGCCGCGGGCCGCGCCGCCCAGCCGCCGAGTCCTAGGGTGAGCCGACTCCAGATGGGAGCCCCGCGTGCACAGGGGCTGTCACTGTTTGGAGGTGACCCGGGCGCCCCTCCGGGGTTGGCGTCCGCCTGCCGGGCTGCGCCAAGTGCGCGCACTGCTGCCGAGGTCGCTGTAGCGGGCGAGGGCAGACCTTGTGCGTACTGAGGCTCGGGGCTGTGGGTGGGTGGGGTGCCTGGGCGAGTTTGGAAATCTTTATTGACAAAGTGGAGTTAGGAGTTGTGGTGATGGAGAACCGAGAGGGTGAAGGACAAGCCAGGTGTCTGCCACTGTGCGCCTCTTGCCGAAACTGCCGTGCGTGTATACAAGGGGAATAACAAAGTGTCGTTCCAGAAGGGTCTTGACACTTGGTCCTGGACTGGGGGCCGCAACTCCCTGAGCAGCTCTGTTCACGCGCCCGCGGCGCCGGGTAGAGCTTGGGAAGTGAGGCGTGGGTGTGAGTCCGGTCGAGCGCGCAGGTGGCTCGGCTGGAAGCTTCTGGAGCCGGGAGCCCGCGGCTCAGGCGCGCAGGACGTAGTTGGGGCACTAGGGGTCAATCTCAGCTCAGGCAGTCGCGCGTCGAGGGGCTCATCCCGGAGGCGCTGCTCCCGGAGGGGACCTAGGGGCTGCCGTCTCACAGCCGCCGCTCCTGGGCCACCGCCTCATGACCGCGCTGCAGCCTCGGGCTCCCGCGCGCCGCTCATGCCTTGCTGGGGGCCTTGGGCGAGTGGAAGGGCTCCGGGGTTGAGCAGAGGGCGCGGAGTCCTAGCCTCGGATGCGAGATCGAAGTTGGGTCCGGTGGCAGGTTCGGATAACCGCAGTGGCAGCGCGCTTTTCCCTCCCTTTCGATCAGGGTCTGGCTCCCGCCTTCCCGAGTGGCTCAGAGTGGCGAGCGCAATGCACGGCTGGGGCCTTTTATACTGCGCTTCCCCCGCCTCCTACCGGGTTTCCTCCTTCCCTCCTTCCCTGTGCCCGCCCAGCCGGTGCCTCCCAGTGTGCGGAGCCCTCCGCCTAGGCATTCGCACGCGTCGGTTTCGCAAATTTCCAAACCCACCTCGTTTTTGAGGCTCCGGTGCCCTGGGGCTGATCCTCCCGAGTCTAGCTTAGGTGACCAAAATTAAATAAACTTTTTTCTCCTGCACGCCCCGAGTCCTGTTTCTGCCTTTCTCTCCGCCCTACAAACTTAAGATTCTAAAGTCAACTACCTTCCGACTTCACATCTTTACGCAAGGCACGTCAGCGGAGTCTTACCCAAATTAAGACGAGAAACCCTTCATCAGTCCAAAAGTTCCTCAGGTCACCGTGACATTTTGCAGAATTTAAATAGCAGTGGTCAAGATAGGGTGTAATGGTTGAGTTTTAATCTGTGTCCGGGGAAGGAAGGGCTGAGGCTAGTTGCCGCTTAGGAGATGCTGTGAGCATTTTCAAAATTCTAACCAGCCCTAGCATTTTATTAATGAATTGGCAGCTTTTTTAATAAAGCACTCGGTATCTTTCCCTTTTCAGTACTTTGGGGAAGGGTTGCAGGGGGGAGAAAGGGGAGATGTTTGGAGGGAGTGCTTGCTTTGGATTTTTAGGCGGCCAGTCCTGTCAGGCATCTCATTGAAATCTCTGGGCTCTGAAATGTCAAATAATTGTCAGTGAGAGCGCTGGGGGAGAATTTGAAACAATAGACCGTCCGCAGTTCAGATGGGAGATCAAAGAGGGGATCCCAGCAGTTTTCAGACCCCACAAGGATCCTCCTGTGTGTTTTCTAATTAGAGTCACTTGGAAAGGGGTGGAGGGCGGGAGAATCAGCACAATGATGAAATATATAAATTAAGATGGCAAACTAGAATCCTGAAGGCAGAGAGAGTTTAAGCCTGGCTCTACACCCCAGTTGTGCCAGATTATATGATGTGGGCGCACAGGGACAAATGACTTTCCTATTGCCTGAGGCAGGCTGGTCTAAATTAGAATCCAGGCTGCTGTGTCCTGTATTTCCATCACATACAGTCCCCACATGTGAGCCTCAATTGCCTCTCCTCTCATCTAAAATTAACATTTTTGGATCCTAAGGAAAAATAACTTTTAAAAAAATTCTGGAAAGAAATCCTTGCAGTGAGTGTACATTCTTGTAAACGTGTAAAGGGCGAGTTGGAGATCAAAGCCTTTGTGAAATGTTGTAAAAATTGTAAATTGAATTTTGGGGACAGAAGTCTTTATAAAATGTTGAACAAATGTATGAATGAATCCTATTAAAATCCTTTCACGCTGTGAGATCCAAATTCCAGGTGAGTTTATGTTCTAGTAATGGCACATAACCAGTATTGATGAAAGTCCATACTCTGTGACTAAAGTTGCCAAGCCAGGCTGCATTTTAGGGGTTAGGGAAAACTGGATTATAATTTTTGTGGAAAAGGAATTACAAATTTAATAGCCAAAACAAATTTGGTTGCAAGCACATTTATGGAATTGGACCAATTGCTAATGAAAGTTTTAAAAAATCCTACCTCCTTTTTCAGAGTTCTCAGAACAATTTATTCATACCTTGTTGTTATTATTATTATTACTATTATAATAGATTTTCTTTATTTGAGAGAGAGCGCAAGAGTGTGAGTGGGGGGAGGGGCAGATGGAGAGGGAGAGAGAATCTGAAGCAGACTGCGCTGAACATGAGCCCAACTCCCGGCCTCATCTCACAACCCTGAGATCATGACCTGAGCCGAAATCAGGATTTGGCTGCTTAACCGACCGAGATACCCAATACCTTTATTATTGATCTACTTTGCCCTAGTAGAATGTGTCTGTTTGCATATCTGTTTTCTCACCAGACCTGGATCACCATCTGTGGTAGAACATTTCAGAGCACATGTCCCCTCCCCACTTCCAGCATACAGTTTTCTTTCTGGGTTCACAGAGAACATGTTCAAGCAACATTGGGTCCAGGTGGGCTGTGAAGAGCTCTGGTAGTTCCAGGTCTGGCCCTAGAATGTCTATATATACTCTATTTTTCCTTTCTACATAAAAAAAGGACTCTAGGTGGAAGGAGCCCAAATCTCTGAGTTACTGCTCAAAAGGGAGGTATGGGACCAAAGGTGTCTGCATTTAACTATGCATAATGAGAAATAAAACTTTGTTGTTCAAAACCATTGTGACTTAGGGATGTTTGCTATAGTAGCTTGTATTAGCTGCAAGACAAGGACATCTGTCTCATCATCATTATCTTTCTAGACCTGAGCATAATGCTTTGCATGGAGTAGTTGCTCCACCAGTGTTCATTTAATGACTGTAATAAACGTGGTCTTTATATAGACCTTACTTAATAAGTTCGCTCTCCTTAAAGTATTCCTACTATAGGGGGCTGACCTATAAATATGAACTCTTCTGTCTTTTGATTGTACTACTTTCTCATAGATTTCATCTTGTATTGGTCTGTTTCTTTTGCAGACAAGCTTATTTGACTGGAATATTTGGAGAAAATAAGAGAAATCAACAACAAGCCAGAACACCTTGCAAATATTGTTGAAGAGAATCTTGTGGTCTATTGTGACAGGATTTTATTGTTGTTCCTTTTTTTTCTTACTGAAAACTGTTGCAAGACAGCAAAGAGTTGTATTAGTAATTTTTTTTTTAAAGATATATTTATTTAGATCAGAGAGAGAGACAGCGAGAGAGGGAACACAAGCTGGGGGGAGTGGGAACGGGAGATGCAGGCTTCCCACAGAGCAGGGAACCCGATTCGGGGCTCGATCCCAGGACCCTGGGATCATGACCGGAGCCAAAGGCAGACACTTAAGGACTGAGCCACCCAGGCGCCTCTTGTATTAGTAATCTTAAAAAGAATGTTTTTCTTAGGGAAAAATTTAAATATATACAAGAGTAAAAAGAATAATACAATGAATTCTTGCATACCCAGAACCCCACTTCAACAAAACTCATGGCCAATCTTATTTCATTTTATATTTTCATGTACTTCCTCCCTCTCAGATTATTCTGAAGCAAATCCATGACATCGTATCATTTCACTGGCACTTTACATCTTTCAGTTTGTAGCTCAGAAAGGTAAGGGCTCAATTAAAAAGAAATGAAACACATGCATACTGAGAGAAGTCAAAACCAGAGACTTACTGGGCGTAAAAATGATCAGCATTTATGGATTGCAGTGGAAGCTAATAGGTGTTCACCAAAATTGTTTCTTTTCAGATATACCAGTAGACTACATTTCCCACTATCCTCTGGACTCAGATTCAGTCACATGACTGAATTCTGGCCAATAGAATGTGGAAGTGTTGTGTGCCTCTTCCATGTTTAG